CTGGTTGCCGAATTTTCCGCCGACCCCTACTGTTACTGTTACTTTCACTGTTACTGTTACTACTACGAGTACTAGTACTGGTACTATTACTAATACTAGTAATTACTAGTACCGGTACTAGTACTAGTATTATGAGTATTACTATTACTGTTGCTATTGGTTTTACTATTGTTGATATTGCGAGCCTTTGTTAAGATTATTACGATTATTACCATTATTAATGTTCTACGGTCGTTGCTAATATTGTTATTGCTGCTGTTACTCTACTGCAAGTGGTACTGCTCTTGCTACTCCTGCTGCTGCTGCTGCTACTGACTACTACTACTGCTACTGTTACTAGTCTCCACTTACTACCAGTACCTGCCTACCTGCTACCCACAATCTTATCCACGACAAAGTTCCAGCACAGGGTTTAGTGCGTAAGTGACGTTAAAGTCGACGTAGCCAGATCAAGGCCGCCCCCCAATGGACATTGTTGGTGTGGCTGGCGAAAGGGGCACCTCCTAGGAAGCTCTTACGACACCTGGAATAGCAATAGCCCCGTGAAGAAAGCTTTTCTATCCTCCGTTGGTACGAAAGCCTGTCTAACAGCCTTTAAACGCCCTAAAGCCTGTGGGAAAGGCTCCCAGAAACTCTCAATCAATTGGGGCACCAAAAGCCTTGCAATGGACAAACTTTCAGGAAACTTTGTCAACAATCTAAACCCTAAGACGGCTTCAGACGGCCTTAACCAGCCGTTTCCAACTATTGTAGCTTGCACGCAGCCCTAGGAAGCCTGCCAAAAGCTCTTAATTATAATGCCCGTAACAACTTGTCATCACGAGGCTTATAGCTTATAACTCAGGGTTCTAACTTGCAAAGAGGGATGTAAATATGCCTTCACGAAAGTTCCACGATGGTGGCGCTGAGGTTAAGTTTTCATTCGTGAAGAATGTCATTCCGGGATGAAGCAATTTAGATCAATAACCATATATATAAATATATACATATATATATATATGCACAGATAGACGTCCCCCGACGTTGGCTTGGATGTGGCCTTTGACAATTCACTTTGCCTGGTCCCTGATCAAATTTGAAGCTAAATTTGCCATCAAAGTTGCGGCCACAGGATGAAAGGGCTTTAAGGAATGACAGGTCTTTTTGTTTGCCTCGCACTGGCTGTCATAAGGCTCGTACCAAAGCCAAAGATTTCGAGGATGAGGCCAGGGGAAGTCCTCGATGCTGTTATAACGTGTGCTGTATCCTTGCAGTGACAACAAGGCTTGCTTGCCCTACATGTTTGCTCAGAGATTCCAGTTGCTTTCTGACTTGGACCGGGAAGCTGGCAGGATTCTTCGCGAAGCCATGTCGTAGGGTGGCATCACTATGACATGTCCATTATGCCCATGTTGGGGCTGTTACGACCAAGACATGCCCGGAGCGGGGTGGGGAGATTGCCTGGATGAATGGTATCCTCCTTTGTTCACGGAGTCTACACAAGACGGATTCACGCAACTTCTGAAAGATTCGTAGATGACCACAGGCGGCCCTGTACTGCTTAGCCGTCTCAGCCTGCCGCCGATGTCTTCGTTGATCAGGCAGTGCTGGCCGGGGCCTTGCGGCTCCTCTTCCGCTCGGCAAAGCACGCAGAGGTCCGCATTGAAACTTTCCACACAGATGTCCTTAAAGATTTGCATAGGAGCAAGAAACACAACAAGGAGCAGTCCTGTGTCACACAGAGTGCTTGATGGCCGTCCTTGACAATTCTTGGGTGGACCTTCATTCACTATGCGACCTCGCCTCTGCCTCTACCTCCGGGCCTGCGCGGCACTTTGCGAAGTGCCAACCCGAAGAGTGGTAGATTATCCCCCCCCCCACGTTTCGTGGTGTATCCCTGTAGTGTAGTATGGGGTACGATTGAAACTCGATGTTAGTATCATTATTCGCCATCCTGTCCCTTGAGTCCAAGGCCTTTCAATTGGATTCCAAACAACTCGAATTAAACGAGTATCAATGCGGACATGAACTGACATCCATCATCTGACGAGTCCGAGTGGGAGCGCTCATGTTTGCAAAATCAAAAACCAATGAAAATGAATTGAGCGCCAAGTGAAATTACACAAGGCTGAAGCATCTTTGCTATCTGAGGCTTAAAGTTGAGAATTGAATACTAAGCTTGAGCATAGGCCAGGCCACAGACTTGAAGTGCGTAAACAAAGTTTCAATTCTCTAACAGTGCACTATCACAGTGTCCCGTTTTGTTTTGAAAGGTAGTCGACATTCCCAACTTGCTGTCGGTCCCAAGATTCAGTAGAAGTCACAAAGAAATCAACGCAGGTTCATTTAGTGAAATCAAGCCTGCACGACCTAAGCAGAAAGCGGAGGGGTGGGGCGGTGGGGGTGGTGCCGCCCCCACCTCATTGTCAAACACAGTCTTAGCATGACGGGTTCTCAAGAAAGGTAACGCCAGTCAGAGATCTACTGCAAGCCATTAACTACCAGTACCAATTCAAGTTGACAAACGCAGGTGAGACCAATTGAGTTTGCGGTCGATTGCAGCCAGTGACAATCACATTGACATCTACATCAGTTGAAACATACTAAGACTAATTGAATTCAGTTAGGCCTTGTTTGTAATCGCGTCAGTTTAAAATCATCGAAATCCGAGAAGCAATTAAGAATCAGACAGACTCAACTGCCGGTTGAAGCCAATTAATGTGACGTTGTTTTGTATGAAGAACTTGAGGACTGCATTATTCGTCAGCAGTCAGGCAAGTCCCTAGCAGGCCCCAATATTTGCAAATTGCAACACATGCATGCAAGACCGTGAGAGCATTGACCCAATGATCGGAATAAAATCATCAAGGAAGCAGAAGAGAACCCGAGAATGACGACTACGGTTAGAGCGGAACGGACGCAGGTATCTGAGACCATTATCTGGCCAACGTTATTGAAGATTATGACGTTCTCCTAATGCCGGTGAAGTTGGTCTGGGTTAGGAGCAGCAGTCTCGTGCAACCGCAGGCCTTGATCCGGTCGTTGTTTTAACACGGAGCTGATTGGCCGTGGCCATTTTGGGCAACAAGGTGGCTCAGCCGAGCGTATTTTAGGTGTAGCTGCCCCCGCAGCCATGGAGGCAAGTCGACGTTTTCCAGACTTCACAAAAAATCGTGTCGAAACGACCCGCTGCGTGGTTTTTCACTGAAGTGGGTCCGATCGACGTGGGCTGGCCTTGGAACTGGCCCAGCAATCCCAGCATCTTGGGTTTGGACGCCCTTCGCTCTGGCTCTCATGGCTCTCCTTGAGCCCCGCAAACCCGGACTGCATTGCGCCCTTGAGCTCTCTTTCTGCCAGCATGCATGGATCCCTCCTCCTATTTCGCGGGCGATCGCCACCACACGACAGCCATGGAAGACGATCACAGACACAGCCTGGATGAGCGGCATGTTGTCGATCGACTGGTCGATAAAAAATAGTTTAGCTGAACAGCCATGACGCGATCGCGCTGCTAAAGGGTGGGTGGCCATCGACTTCAATTTTGATGGGATCGCTCACGGCATTCACGGCAGCCTGAGCATTCGTCAGAATCTCATCCAACACCCATCATCTTTGAAGAGAGCTCTGGATTCTCTGGTCGATTGCCCTGTGCAGCCCTCTCCCATGTATCGACATGTTGCGTTTCAGAAGCTTTCTGCAGGATGTGCCAGTGTCTTTCATGGTGCCGAAGATCCTGTCGCGCTAACCTCGGACTGAGCACCTGGCCCTGGAGTTTCTGTGAGGGTCGTCGATGGTCAGAAGCTGTCGAGCTCAAGGTGCCACTAAGCACAGCTCAGATGGGCCGGGCGCGCCTCGAAGCTGCCGGTCTCAGGCATCGGAGGAAGTGTTCTTTACCTCCTGAATGTTCAGAACTTTCATGCCAGGACAACATTTCGTGCCTATGCCGGTATGACTTATGGCGTCTGCGACGAAGAGGCCTCAGCACCTGTCATGTCGAGCCAACCACCAGAGACTTTGCAGATCAGCGCTCGTCTCATGTCGCATATTCGTTCAATGTGGCTGGCGTGCAAATCGCCTCACCCATGCGAGTGAAAAGGTAATACGAGTGTGTACGCTGATACATGATGCCGTTGTTGGACCGAGTGTCCAATCGGACCATCCGTCCGTCCATCCCGGCCTGTTCCAGGCGGGCGGCGGCAGCCGGCTTGCTAAGCTCTCTCAGCCAGCCGCGCCTGCAGGAGGGCGGGACACTCCAGCTTGAGGCGGCTGCGGTGCTGGTTCCATACCCGACATCCTCAGAACCTCTTCATCTTTGGATCAGTCATGCTCGGAGCGCTTCATAACACGTCAACCGTGCTCCGTGCGCACTTCAGCCAGCATCTGTCTTGCTCGTGTAGTCATACGGTCGGCAAGCTCCGCCGGGGATCCATCCGGGACACCACGGAGCCTGCGCCGCAGGTGCGGGTCGCTGATTGCGTGCCGCTCCGCCTCGGAGCTATCCACGTTCGCGACAGCCGGCGGATCGCGAGCTACTGCAGTGACTGCCACAAACCGACAGCAATCAGGCACGGATCCACGCGTCAGTGCTTGCGCCAGCATGGCCAAGCAGGCCGTGCTCTGTCCAGGCACGTTGGCTGCCCTTGACCCAGTGCGTGCAGCTGAGCGCACTCATGACCGAAGAAACATTCAGCTCGAACGTCGTTGACACTGCACGGTGGGGATATGCTCTTGTGCGGCCTCGGTCCTGTGAGCACGAGCTCCTTGGCAGCAGCATCCCAAAACTGACCCGTAAGGCATGCATGAGCGCATCGTGCTCTCTCGAGCATTTTGCTGCAGCGACAAAGTCCCCGGATGGCAATGTCGCCGATCGCTTGCTGCTTCGCTTTGACATTGTCGGGGATGTTGGGGTCTTGTCTTGGGCCGCTCGCAGGCGAGGCCGAGGTGGCCGCATTCGTGGAAGCCGAGGACTGGATACACGTTCAAAGACTCGAAGTCGTTCACAAGCACTTGCCCTTTGAAGGGTGCGTGCTTGATGAGAGGACTGCATATCGCCAAGTGCTGATCAGGCCTGCGCATAAGTGGCATAAGTCTAGTGTTATTTGCCTGAAGGATCCGGCAGATGGCCGCCCGAAGTTTTTTTTATGATTGGGCACTCGCTGGCTGGTGTCAGCGGTCGACAGCTATAACAGGTGCTCAGCCTGTGTCATCGAGGTTGTCGCGAAGATGTACATGTTTGCGGCGTTCGGCTTCTACGACGATAAGGTCGCCTTGTCTGCTCTTTCAGCTCACGATGCAGCTCTGTGGTTGGCAGTCGTTTTGATCAGAACAAGTTGCAGAGATCTGCCTCGCGGTGCATTCTTGGAGTGACTTACGATCTCGCCAGACGAAGGAGGCACTGATCAAGCAGATCGACTCCATCCTCCAGTCTGACGTGCTCGATCCTTGCACAGTTGGGAAGCTTCAACGCCAGCCTAGGTTCGGAGCGTCCCAGGCTTTGGGGAAGGTTTTCCCGCGTGCTCTGTCCGAGAAGCAGTACCTGAACCGAGCTCGTCGTCTCCAGAGTCTCCAGAGAGAATGGAGGATGCTCGTCATATCTGGCCTTCCGAGCCCGATCGAGCCGAGGTTGTTTTGCAAGGCAGACGTAATTAACTTCACGGAAGGTTTCGCAGCCGACCCTCGGAAGCGAGAAGGCTGGACCGGATCGGCGGAGGGTCTTTGAAAGGCGTTCGCCGCCGAAACCCCTCCAGTTCTCGTCGCCGGGCTTTGAAAAGAAGATCAAGGGGAAGTGGTTCCCATGCAAAGTTCAGATTGTCATGATCGAAATGGTGGGGCCGATCGTTGCCCTGAAATTCTTCTCATCGGTCGTCAAGGGGGCGGAGGCTCTGCTGTTCATAGATTCGGAGGCAATCGAGGGAGCCTTGATCAAGGGCTATTCCTCGAAAGAAGACGTCTGTAAGCTCGTTTCTGCGTTTTGGAAGGTTAGCTCCTTAAGTTGCGAGTCAATGCTTACAGCCAATGCCAATCTAGCTGACTGGCCGTCCAAGGGGGGCCCTCAATCGGCGCTAGTGGAACAGCCGGCTTGGCCACTTGTTCTTCGCTTGGGCAGTTTCTAGAGAGGGACTCGCGTCGAAGCGGTCGGTTTCCTGATATGAATAGTGGAATAGCTCTGCGCAGACTGATGGCGTTCGGCTGTCCCCTTTGCTGTCGCCCGGTGTCGCCCGATCGGAATCTCACTCGGAGAATTTTGTGGGGGAATTGGCGAACTCTCGTGCCAAGCGTGGGTCCGGGGATCTGTTCGGATGCGTCATGATGCGTCAATCTTTTGTTTGACTGACTTCGATGGACTGCCTGTTCCCATGCCAGAGCAAAAAGTGCGCATGCCGCTCGCAAGCTCGTTGGAGCGGTCTTCTGTTGTGGAGTGTTGTGAAATTTATTTGAAGCTGGTCGGGCTTGCCTTTGCAGGCGATATACAACATGTGTTGTCGCGCAACCACACTGATAGCAACGCACCAGCAGCTTGTTCACATGCACAGTCTTTTTGTTGAACAACGGAACGCGTGGGAGGCCCCAAAAAGCATGCTCGGGGGGTGATTAATGGATGTTCTGAGTCTGAATAATGAACGGAAACGCCACAACCTCGGCGGATTACTACAGGGAAGCGGCCATGCAAGCGTCATGATTGCATAGCACAGCCTCCGCTTCGATTCAAAAAGCAAACAGCAGGTCATTTTTGGGGAGAAGTACGCCTCCAAGGATGACGTTTATGTGATCTGAGGTTGTGGAGAGTTGGGGTTGCACGGTAGACACCATGTCATGCAACTTAGGCGCAACTGTAATTTGCTCAGTCAGAACATGTCAGAACCCGTGCTTCTGACCCTGAGCCCAGATCCAGTTCCCCTTTTTCGTGGGACGCTCTTTCGCGGCAGTCAACGCCTGCGGGACTGCTAAGGCATGCACGACAGCGACTCCACCGAGAGGAGCTCCCAAAGGGTTACCTGGATGTCTGGATCTCAACCGTTATGACATCGGCAGATGAAGCGCCGCGGTCGCGTCTGCATTCGAGGAGACTGGAGTATAGGGCAAGTTAGTAGCAGGACATTGATTAACAATCGGGGTCTTTAAGATGCAACAGTGAAAGGTGCCAACGTTGCGTGACATGGGAAAAAGTTTAAAGCAGAGATTGGAGTGGAACCGACATGCTGTCAATGGCAATGGGAGACAGACAGCACCGACCGACTTTGGGATCAGCACCTAATCCGCAGGTTCGGGACACAGTATCGGTCCCATAGATTTGCCAAAAAGACCAGAAAAGAAGGCTCAGTTTGTGAACCGATTCCCGATGCGACACTGAGGATACACAGACTTCCCTCAGCTGCACCCACCAAGAAGCGTCATAGCGTGGCCTGTGCTAAACAAATCTCGAGGTCGCGGCCGCTCTCCGCGATGCCTAGGGCTCAGCACCTCTCATGCACGGGTGGGGGCTGGCCTGAAAGATTTTATTTACATCGACGCACCCGGCGGCTTAATGCTGTAAGATGGGACCCCCGTCTGCACCGTTCGCGACTGAGCAAATTGCACATCTGCGGTTTGGAAGGTCTTCCAGCAGCAAGTCGAACAGGGCCATGAGAGCCGCAGCTTCGGGAAGGCAATGGCAAACTGCACGAGGGAGATAAGCAAATCTTGCTGAAGCGCCACTGGCGGATTCAGGTTCTGCGTGATTTGCAACAGCATCCAGTGTCCTACACGTGTGTTTGAGGATTGAGGATGTCAGAGCAAGAGTTCGGGTAAAGAATTAATCGTCTTATGCCAGTGGCGCTTGTGAGCTGTACATGAGTCAGACGTCCTATTTGCTGATCTATGCATACATCTGGTGAATCCAGGAAATCGGTGCCATAGTTCCCTGTTCCACGATCTTGCTTTCGGTCGCGAAGAGCTCAGGGTGGGACGGAAAGGCATATTCCTGGCTCGGCTAGGCCATGTTGGACCGCTGTACATCTTGGCGGGCAGCCTTCAAGGACAGTGTCACGTCTTGCTGCCTTTGTTAGATTGCCATTGCGGCTATGTGGCGGCTAGCGCAAGCCGTTGAACCTCAGCATGGTTCACTGGGTAGGCTGTTAATACCTTTCAGATTTTGGCATGTAGATTCTTGTCGCCACTGAAACTAGTCGCACACATTCCTTCATAGCCATTTTGCAGGAAGATGCATCCAGCCGCAGCCTTCGAAGGGCATTCCCCCTTGAGTGAAGTGGTCTTAGACATGATGGTAGTATTCGCCTTTGCAGGAAGACGCTTAATGGCACACCGGCATACCCCTAACTCGGCCTGAAAGCGAGGCAGAGATGCAGAGCTCGCCAAGCTGGTCCAAGAATGTGGTCTGGAGGCAATCGCTGCTGCAGAGTGTGCAGTGCTTGGGTGCGAGATGCTAGTGATCGCATCTCTTGCTGATGCAGGTCGTCTCCGATTCCTGATGGGTTGACTCTAGGACACTCTAGAAAGTCAGAGGCCAGGGACGTGCGTCAACAGTGACATGCAATTGCTTTACCCTGTGGCCATGCTTGATGCTGTGCAGAGTAACGTACCTGCAAGTGCTATCCCGGTTTTTCCTTTTCTCGCAGGAAATTGAAGACTCTGCGGCCACCGTCTTTCGCGGATGGCTCAGGTGAGATTTCTTTGGGCTGCGCACCTGTTAGCCTGCGAAGCTCTGTCAGTGTCTAGTTTGGTTATTTTCGGCTGCCCCCTGTGCTAATCGCAATTTGGGTTACATGGGTGATGTGCTGTCTCTTCGTCGGGGAGACCCTCATTGATAGCTGTTTGCACAAGCCATCCGGTGGTTCGCAGCGGAGGCTGTGCACACTTGCTTGATGCAAAAGCCTTGCGAAGCGCCGGCAGAACGTCTGACGGCTTGCAGTTTAAATAACTAGCGAATGCGAGCACTGACTGCTCACGATCTCCAGGGTGGAGGTTGAAAGCCCGCTTATAGCAGTGGCGCGAGGAGGAAAGCCAGCTGCAAGTGGTTTCTGCTTTCGTCCTCCACTAGGGAATCTCAAATCCTGATCTGTTTTCTCTGGGCCGGCAGGGCCTGTACAGTTGTTTTGCCAGCTTGGAGGCTGCAGCATGCAGCAGGAGATCCGTGCAGTGTCAAGCCTGGCTGTTGGCATGAAAAACCGCTTACCCAAAAGGACCGAAATCTGGCCCAAAACAGGCCCCTTTGGCAACGGGGTTTTGTCCAGCTCCAGCTGGGGGATAGCCGAAAAAACCCGCAAACCTGCAGCCGAGCCAAACAATTACAGTAATGCGTGAAGTCTTCAAGCTTTCTCGGGCGCTTGCCTCTTGCAGTTCGGCACGTATCGACTCTCGAGTTGACCATGACACATATTCTGGCAGCATGAGTTCTAGCTACCGGCTTTAGCAACACTGGTGGGTCTGAATGGGTTCTCTTGTAGTCAAGCGAGGTAGATTGCTCTGGTCAGTGCGACTATGCCGAAACTCGGACCTCGAAGCTGGAATCGACTGTCATCACAAAGTCGCGAGCCACGTTCAGCCTGAGCAAGAAGTCGCATGAGGTCGCTTCGTGCAGAATGTGACCTTCGAGTTTCATGTCCCTAAGTGCATCAAGCTTGTGGCATGTCCTTGAAGCCCATGGAAGCCATGAGTGGCACCCGATGACAAGATGCTTCACCGCCGACTTGTGCAGATTATCCTCCTATGCGGTGTCGCCATTATTGCTGCAACGATGGTCGTGAGTTGGAGCGAGCTTGTGGAACAAGGCAGGCAAGTACTGCAGGTCTTACATACCTCGAAGCCATTGCTGGATCGGCTCGACAGGGTTGTGGATCCGTGTCCGGCCTTGCTGCCTTCATTTACCTTTCCGATACCTGTGGACCACCGGCGATTCCATGGCAAACGAAACAGCTCGCAGCCTTGTCGATTCGTCGTCGTAACAACGGTGACCGGGGCATACGACAAGGTTGATCTGTCGTTTCCACAAACCAGTGGCCCTAACCTCTGCTTCTTTATATTCTTCGACGAAGCCAGTGCGAGAGCGTCTGTGCCAGAAGCTGAGCTGGAGAACGCTTGCTTTTTGTCAAAGTCGACTGAAGTTTCATCTTGCGTGCTGCCGCGGCTGGGAGAATGGCACGTGGTCATTCTGAGCGACAGCATGATCAGTAGCATCCCGCCGCCCTTCGCGCGCACACGCCGTTCGAGGCTTATGAAGATGCTGTCCCATCGAGCCTTCAGCTCGGCGGAGTTTCTCTTATATGTCGATGGAAAGCTGATCATAAACGATGTCACGCCTGAGACCGTGGAAGCGTTCGTGCTGCCTGGCCCTTTGTTAGGAACTCAGCACAACGGTTCCGGTGTTGCTCCCTTGGCAAACGGGCACTGCCAGGCTCCGGGCGCTGCGGCCCCCAGGTGGCAGGGTGGCGTGGGCCTCGCCGCTGCATCCGGAAAGGCAGACAATCTACGAAGAGGCCTTGCAGGTTTGCATCATGGCTGCAAGAGGGTAAGCAAACCTGAGTCAGCTTTTGATTCTTGGTCTGAGGTTTGTGCTAAATCCTCCCGACCATGGAATGTAGGAGGTTCTCGTCCAGCTCTGCGAAGTCCTGCAAAATCTGGACCGCCTGATCCGACAAGAAAGGGATCGGAACAACCCGGAATGGTGTCACCATGTATACCTTAAAATCCCCAAAGAGTTAGACAAACATTGCAGGCCCCAGACCATGGCTCCAACAAAACGTCATTGAACCTTGTCTAGCCTATAGAGGAATCCTATTTTATCAACCACAGACTGAACTATCAGAAACACCTGGCCATCGGGTTTGAGGGGATTTAGGGTTCAGGGTAAGGGATATTCAGTGCTTTATCCAAGGTTTTGTGGATGTCGCACCTCAGGGCTTCTGTGCAATGTTTTGCGGGTCAGTCCTAGCTCACCATTGCCAGCTCATGTGTGTCGGAGCTTTAGGATGGCGTGTTTTGCTTAGACAGGCGTTTTCCTGACAACAACTCGGCCGCTGCACAAAAAAAGAGGAGATGTTGAGTGCCAATCAGCATGCGTCAACAAGGTTCGCTTCCAGCCGAGCGATTGCGGCATCATACCACAGACTCTATCATAGACGGTACTGATGTGCTAATTCCGAAGCCTCGGACCTACCTGAACCGAGGCGTGTACAACCTTACGGACGACACGGGTGTGGATCGAATGCTGTCCTACCACGCCAAGGGTTATCCATTGCAGGCACCACCTTATTTGATCGAAGGCTGGACTTGCGCACCGCTTTTACTACCCATGCGGGAGTGCAAGTAGCCGGACCCACTGCTGCAACACTAGCTGTCAGTAGCTGTCTTGACCTGCACTGTTGCTCCTTTGAGCGAAAGGAAACGAACTCTGAGCTAGGCACCTGGCATTATCGGGACCTCCGGGCACCGGAGTCTTCCTTGATCGGATGTGCCTGGATGAAAGAGTTCCTTTCCTGGAATGCAACCAGGCGAGGTCAGGAATTTAGCCAGTCCAATCCATAGCTTCGCGCTTCCGGTTCATTTTTGCGCATGCCGGGACTTCTGTGGTTCTGCATGTCGGAAGCAGCAAGTACAAACACATACGCCGAAGACCTTCCTACCGCACCGCCAGGGACCAGCTAACCTTCAATTTTGCGGTCTGGGAAGCCAACTTGTCCTTCTACGCCGTCCATCAGCGGCCAGGCCTATTCCATGGTTCAGGCGCTCGGCGCTCTCTAAGAATGCACAAAAAATGCTCTGCTTTGGAGATCTGGAACTTGCCTCAGCCACAAGCCTGTGTAGCTGCAGGCATGGCTAAGTTGCTACATAGCTGGTTCCTTTCACAGGTTCCCCGTCAAATCGTCTTAGCCTGGAGGAGGACACAGCGGGGGCCGGGAGACGATTGCAAAGCCTCGGCGTTGTGCTGAACTGGTCCCACTGGTGGATCCGAAGCTCGGTCGTAAATGGCAGGAGATTCGGAGTGGGTGTCGAGATTTTGAAACTCGGGCTTCGCTTGAGTCTGGACATGACAACAGAGGTGTTAGCTTAGGGGTACGGCCAAGCATTTCGGAGACTTTTGAATTATGGCTAGTGACTATGTGTGGTTATGATGATTGAGCAGATCTGAGTAACCCTCAGATGGTTGCCTACAACCATCTAGATCCGGCCACCTTTTCCCGCAAGACTCATCGGAGGCACGTTGGACAAGGGAACACAAAATGCCTGTCCCGATCACGACGTTGATTAGGGTTCCTTTCGGAAAGGCGCTGCGGCGGCGTGGGGCAAAGGAGATGCTGCTCGTCATGCGACCACCTCTTCGGAAGGCAGCCAACTCAACTGGACTGGCAATGGCTAGTGTAGGACGGCGCCGTAGAGCTCCATTCCATCTCAGGTCTTGGTCGTATTCGTTTTTAGTTGATGCTTGTGAGCATCCCACTAGACGGGCTCTCTTGCCCGACATGCAGCCACAACGCGGGTCGCCTGGGTCTCGAAGCCTGGAGTTCAACATGTGCAAAAAGGCTTCGACAGACAGTAGCCACTCCCGCAAGCCGAATGACAAGTTTTTGTGCCTGACTTTTTGTGGCCCCACTCTAGTAAGCCGAGCCGCCCTAAAACCCTGAACTCCGGGCTTAGGGTTCGGGGTTCAGGGCCTCGGGTGTAGCCCATAGCAAGGCCCCGAGGCTTTGAATGGTTTGAACAGTGCCCACCATGTAAGTAAGCTCCCTCTGACTACAGACACCAAGGCTTGAATAGCTTACTGAGCTTTCAATCGCCTTCTAATTGAAAAGGGCCGAGAAAGCATGCCAGAAAGAGTTCCCCACGTCTTCTGTTCATTTATGTGTGACCCCCCTTCCCCTGGCTTCGTCTGGAGTCGATGTTTTCCCCAATTCTGGCATCTCAAATACTTCCAAACACCCAGTGGTGAGGGCTTGACAGTGTAGGGGATCCTTGCTGTTAGGGCATTTCGGATTTAGAGGCTGTAGGTCGGGAGGGTTTGAGACTGCGAGGCTTGGGACTTTGACGTTGTTCAGGTTATAATACATTTAAAAGATGTGAATTCAACGAGAGTGTGGTGCTGGCTGTACCCGGAGCACTCAAGCTGTGCTGCTCGTCAGCTTGTCGGAAGGGGCTTGAAGTCAGGTTGTTTGACGGTTGCTCGGAAGTAGGGGACCTATGTTCCAGCACGTTGAGATTTGAGGGTTTGGAGTGCAGGGTTTGTACGGATCAGTGGGCTTGGGAAGGGGGGAGTAGAGCTTTGGAAAAGAGTATTTTTTGTGCTGGGCATTTTGGACTTGTGGCTGGTGTTGAGGCTTTCCTGGTGTCCATTTCGACTCCCCATTCCGGCAATCACAAGAATGTCTCCACTAGAGTGTTTAGAGCAATGGAGCTTCCAAAGACCCTACAAAAGACCCTACAAGACCTCTCGCCACTCTTGCGACACTAATGTTTAAGGTTCAGGATCTTTGAGTTAGGTTCCAATGACAGCAGGAAATCATGGTTTAATAGCAGGCCCACGGCTGAGGGCAGCAGGATCTAGGGCGCAGGGTTGCTCGGCTCCTGCCTCGCCGAGACGAGGCCGCTCCGTGGAGGCCAGGTTGATGGTCCGCCGCGAGGGTTTCAGTGAATTGACCATGTTAGCCCCCGCAAGGGTTTAAGTAAATTGACTTTAGGGTTTTAGGGTTTAGGGTTTAGCGTACCCTAAACCCTTTCAGGGTTAGGGTTTAGGGTTTACTGGTTTAGNNTAAGCCTTGAGTTTAGGGTTTAGGGGTTTAGGGTTTAGGGTTTAGGGGTTTAGGGTTTAGGGTTTAGGGTTTTAGGGTTTAGGGTTTCGGGTTTAGGGTGTAGGGTTCAGCAGCCCCGGATCGAGCAGTTTTAAAGAACAGTTGTATTCACGGTTTAGACATAACACCCACCCACCCTTAGAATCCCAAACATAAGGAAATAAAAATTTCTTTCTTTACATCACAGCGGCCGTTCCAAATTACATCGTCACATCGAGCGGATCCATAAAGAAAGTCTTCACCCAAGACTGAAAAACTTAAAGACGCTATCGCCTAAGTGGCTCTGTCTTGAGCTATCCAATGGCCTACGACCGGACAAAACT